TGTTGGTAGTCTCAGACTTCAAGGTACCAGAAGGAATGTGCTAATAAAAATACCTGAGGGTAGGGAGATGACTCACTGGATAAAGAAAGCACTAGCTGTTCAAGTTTGAGGTCCAGAGTTCAGATGCCTAGATCCCATTTAAAAGCAGTGGTAGCCATCCTGTAATATCAGCATATGGGAGGCAGAGGCAGCAAATTCCCGAAGCAAGCCAGTTATCCCAAACATGATCTGAGTTTGACAATTATCAGATACCCTGCTTAAATATATTAGGTGAAGAATGATTAATGACACCCACATTAACCTTAGGTCTACACACACACGTACCTGCACACATACAACTCGCATACCCCCCCCACACACACACACCTGAATTCTGTATGGTATATGTCTGTAATCCCAGAACATGGGAAGCTGAGGTGAGACAATTCAAGGGTTCAAGGGTAGCCTGGATTACCTGATTAAAACAAAACAGCAATAACAATAATCCATTATAATACCACCTTTATTTACCTTATATGATAGTTCCTATATGGTAAACACTTTTTTGTTTATGTGACTTTTATCTTAGAGCATTCTTTTTTAAAAAATATTTATTTATTTATTTATTATCTATGCAATATTCTGTCTGTGTGTATGCCTGCAGGCCAGCAGAGGGCACCAGACCCCATTACAGATGGTTGTGAGCCATCATGTGGTTGCTGGGAATTGAAGTCAGGACCTTTGGAAGAGCAGGCAATGCTCTTAACCTCTGAGCCATCTCTTTAGCCCCTCTTAGAGCATTTTTGAATGTCTTAGTAGTTCTTTCATTGCGTCTTTTTCTTAATATTCCTTGAGGACTTGGCATATATATAAAAGAACAAGGAGAGAAGCCAGTTTGGAAAAAATAAGAGTACCTTCTGAAGGGCCCAGTTTGCACTGCCTTTATAGCGGGAAGCACACTGATGGGTCTGCAGAGCACATAGCTTCTGTGGTAGAGCACCTGAGTTGGTTTCCAAACCCATGTGGGCAGCTCCAGGGAATTTGACACCCTCTTCTGGCCTTCTCAGGCATGTACACATACTCACATTTAAAAATAAAAATAAACCTTTAAATGAAAAATGTTTAGCAGGCTGACAGTGGTGGCATACACCCTTAATCACAGCACTCCGGAGGCAGAGGCAGGTGGGTCTCTGAGTTTGAGGCCACCCTGTCTATGGAGCTAGTTCCAGGACAGCCAGAGCTACACAGAGAAACCCTGTTTCAAAAACCAAAAATAACAAATAAATGTTAAATGAAAGCTTATTAAATGTAGATTATGCTTTCTGTCCTGCACACTTCCTCTTTTTTTTTTTTCTTTTTCTCCTTGTCCTTTTTTTAGATGGGGAGTGGATCTCTTTCTGGATCTCGGGCTGATCTTAAACTTGTAATGACCTCATTGTACTGAGTGCTTGGGTTATAGGCATGAGCTACCACATCCAGCCTATTCTGTTAATTTTTCTTTAATTTCTTTTTTCTCTTTCGTTTTTTGAGATAGTTTCTCAGTATAGCCCTGGCTGTTCTGGAACTCTCTTTGTAGACCAGGCTAATTTTGAACTTAAGACACCCTCCTATCTTTGCCTCCTGAGTGCTGGGAGAATGCTGAGATTAAAGACTTGTGGCCAGGTGGTGGTGGCGCACGCCTTTAATCCCAGCACTCGGGAGGCAGAGGCAGGCGGATCTCTGAGTTGGAGACCAGCTTGGTCTACAAGAGCTAGTTCCAGGACAGGCTCCAAAACCACAGAGAAACCCTGTCTCGAAAAACCAAAAAAAAAAAAAAAAAAAAAAAAAAAAGGACTTGTGTCAGCACCACCAGGCAATGTTTATTTTATTTTCTTTTCTTTTTTTTTTTAAAGATTTATTTATTTATTATGTATTTAGTGTTCTGAATGCATGTGTCCCTGCAGGCCAGAAGAGGGCACCAGACCCCATTACAGATGGTTGTAAGCCACCATGTGGTTGCTGGGAATTGAACTCAGGACCTTTGGAAGAGCAGGCAAAGCTCTTAACCACTGAGCCATCTCTCCAGCCCCCAGTGTTTATTTTTCTTGTGTGTGTTATTCTTCTCCCTCTACTAAGTGGGCACCAGAGATAAACTTGGGGCATCAGGCTTGACAAGTAATGGTCTTTACCTGCTGAGTTATCTTGCCATTCCCTGGTTTTTTTTGTTCTTATATGGGTGTCAATTCTTACTTTATAAATGAGATTTTTGTTTGTTTGTTTTGCTTGTATTTGGGACAAAGTCTCTAATATTTAGTCCTAGATATAAGTTATATGTTTTGAATTTACATTTGCTGGAGGGAAATAAAGCATTTCAGATAGAAACATTTCTTTTCTTGAACAGGAGTATTCATGAGGAGAAAAAGTGTGTTTGGTGTTGAAAGGTTGAGGGAATCATGGTGAAGGGAAAGGTTGACAAGGACAAACTACACTAGGTCTCTCTGCTCCTTGGGCGCATGAGCCTATTTCTGTACTTGAGCATGGCTTTGGGGAATATTGGCCCGGTAAATGGAGAGAGAGAGGGAAATGTTTTTTGATTGTGGTAATTTCCCTCCAGTGGGTCTTCCTAACCAACGAATCAAAATCTGTCAGTCAGGATGGTGTGACATTGTATGTTTGTTTCTGTGAGATAGTGTCAGTGCTGTAGGGTCAGGTTGGGAGAGCATAAGAACTGTGTTGATTAACTGGCACTGTTCATTGCTTTTCCCTCAAGGGCAAGGAGGAAGTGTGTGATGTTTTACTCTGTTGTCTTTTTGAGGTGCTCACCGTGCAGCTCCCAAATAAATCATGCATGGTGGCTTAGTTTTATGAGTGTCCGGCCTTAGCTTGGCTTGTTTCTTGCCAGCTTTTCTTAAATTATCCAGTCTATCTTTTTGTCTCTGGGTTTCTATCTTTATTTCTGTATTTCTTACTTTCAGTCTTCCTCCGTGACTAGTTGAACCCTAAGGTCCTCCTCTCCTCTTCTCGCTTTTCTTCTTCTGTTTATACTCTCTGCCTGCCAGCTCCGCCTGTGCTTGCTCCTGGCTTGCTGTTGGCTGTTCAGTGCTTTATTAGACCATCAGGTGTTTTAGACAGCCAAAAAAAAATCACAGCTTCACAGAGTTAAACAAATATAGCATAAACAAAAACAACACACCTTAAAAAAAATATTTCCAAACAGGAAGAGCTTCTAGAAAGGAGCTGAGGGTACTGGGTTGGGGAGGGAAAGGCTGGCAAGGTGTTTGTTGGACTGAGGAAGATATATTTGGAACAGAGGTTTTACCTAAACCTCTAAGTCCCCTGGTCTGAATAAAAGAGAAGCTCGTCTGGAGTCAGTGGTAATTAATCAAGAGCTTTTCTTGGCTCATTCTTCCCTCACCTTTCAGCTCAAAAGGTGAATTCAGACTCTCCATCAGAATTAAAACGAGCAAATAGACTGCCCCCTGACCCCTCCACACACAGTTAAGGCAGGGTGGCACATACCTGTTATAGAAGCACATGGGAGAAGGTCATCCTAAGGAATTTAGGGAGTTTAAGGCCAGCTTAGGCTATATAAGACCTTCTCAAAAATCCCATGGAACTGGAGAGAGGGTTCAGTGGGTAAAGGCACTTGGTGTGCAAACCTCATGATCTGAGTTCTACTCCCAGAACCCATGAAAAAAAATGGAAGAGAAAGGTTGTGGAGAAAAGGGAACACTTCTGCATTGCTGGTGGGAATGCAAGCTCGTACAGCCCCTTTGGATGTCAGTGTGGTGATTTCTCAGAAAATTAGGAAACAACCTTCCTCAAGACCCAGTAATACCATTTTGGGGTATATATAAAGGATGCTCAATTGTGCCACAAGGACATGAGCTCAACTATGTTCATTGCAGCTTTGTTTTGTCATAGCCAGAACCTGGAAACAACCTAAATGTCCCTTTACCAAAGAATGGATAAAAAAAATGTGGTACATTTGCACAATGAAGTACTACACGGCAGAAAAAAATAACGACAGCTTGAATTTTGCAGGAAAATGGATGGAGCTAGAAAACATTATTTTGAGTGACGTAATCCAGACACAGAAAAACAATTATCACATGTACTCACTCATAGGTGGTTTTTAAACATAAAGCAAAGAAAGCCATTCTACAAACCACAATCCCAGAGAACTTAGACAACAGTGAAGATACTAAGAGAGACTTACATAGATCTAATCTACATGAGAAATAGAAAGCAGAAAAAGACAGGATCTCCTGAGTAAATTGGGAGCATGGAGACCTTGGGGGAGGGCTGAAGGGGGAAGGGGAGCAGAGAAAAACGTAGAGCTCAATAAATATTAATTAAAAAATGGAAGAGAAATGACTTTACAGGGGTAACCTCTGACCTCAGGTGCCCTCCATCATATACACATAATAATAATATAATAATTAAAATACACAAAAAATGCTGGCTCACCATATTCCTGATAAGCATGCATTTTGTAGTAGGATTTGTAAGGTAAATGGCCTTCAGGTTTGTTTGTGCTTCCAGTGATGGCTGTTTCAGCTGTAGTGTATTGTTTCTGTTGCGCTTACTTGGGTGCTCTCTTAGTGTAGAACTGAAATTTTTTTATTCATTTATTTTATTTATTTATTTTCATTCGGGACAGGGTTTCTCTGTGTAGCCCTGGCTGTCCTGAAGCTCAGTCTGTAGACCCGATTTGTTAGAGTGATTTGTTTTCACAAGAATCCACTCAGGCTTCCACAAGAACTGTCTTAGTCCTTTCTGAACAAATACTGCTCACAGCCTAGAAAAGGTCTCCCCACTTCCCAGTGTTGTCACACTAGGTATTCCCCAAACTTACATGAATCCTTGGGGCCAAAGTGCAGCTAAATCACAGTAGCAGGGTGTTTATTTTATTTGTGTGATCCTTGGTTCTTGATATATAAGGTTGGCTTGCATGTTGTAACTAATAAATTAGTTTTATTCCTATAAACTTTGTAAATAGAGAATAACTTGTTTCAACTGTTGCCTTTATCCTTTGACAGTCTGAGGATGATGAGAAGCTGAAAAAAAGGAAGGAGAGATTTGGGATTGTGACAAGTTCAGCTGGAACTGGAACCACAGAGGATACAGAGGTGAATTAAATTTAGAATGCTTCATAGAGTTCGTCATACAATCAGACAAAACCCCACCAATGTCAAGGCTTTCTGTGTGGGGGTCAGAGGACAACTCTGGGAGTTTCGTTTCTGTGATTGTGAGCTTATTCAGGTGGGCTGGCTTGTGGGCATTCTGGAGACTTGTCAGTTGTCAGGCTTGCTTGACTGACACTTCCACTTATTTCCTCGTCCTTCTAGGACTAGTGTATGTGGGGGGATTTCTCTGTGTCACCCTGGCTGTCCTGGCACTTTCTCTCTAGACCAGGCAGGTCTCAGAATCACAGAGATCTGCCAGTCTCTGCCTCCTTGGGATTAAAGGTGTGCACCACTAACACCCACCTTTCCTTTATGTTTGTTTGTTTGTTTTCATTTTTGGAGACAGGGTTTCTCTGTAGCTTTGGCGCGTGTCTTGGTATTATTTGTAGACCAGGCTGACCTCAAACTCACAGAGATCCACCTGTCTCTGCCTCCAGAGTACTGGGATTAAAGGCGTGCGCCACCACCGCCTGTCCCCCCTCTCTGTTTTTTGAGACGGCCTCTCACACTGAACCTGGATGTCACTAATGGGTTAGGCTGCCTGGTCAGTGAGCTCCAGGAATCTACCTATCTTCCCCTATCCAGTGATAGCTTTACAGGCACAGTCCTCATGGTTATTTGTACAGTAAGCATTTTACCAACTGGACAATCTTACTAATCCTTAAAGTTTCTTTATAAATAAGTATATATGCCATGAAAATTATAAATCAAGAGCTGGAGAGATGGCTTAGCAGTTAAGACCACTTGTTGCTCTTGCAGAGGACCTATGTGATCCCCAGCATGTACTTCGTGCACATAAATGTATGTAGGCAAAACAGTCATGCACGTAAAAGAAATCTAAAAAAATTATAGTCAAATCAATTTTTGCTCTTTACTAGGGAAAAAAACTAAAGGAATCTGTAGACTTTGCTGTACTGAAATAAAACACTTTATATTAAGTTTATTGATTTAATGAGATGAGCTTGCTTCAGTTCTGCTTAGAATTATTTCTTATGTGGAAGCTGTCAATAAGCCAGGTATTTCACTGAGTAGGTACATTGGCTTCTCCAGGTTAAAGAGGGTGGTAGGAACAGTGGCTTTGGTTGGAAGTCATTGTCTGTCTGTAAGGGAGTAATAGTTCTGAGGCACTTGCAGTTTACATGGGCCAGAGGAGTTTTGTCTCATTTGAAGGAATTATGTCATTAGTTCAAGTGTAATGGGCTTGTAGTATATTCTGCTTTTAAAAAAGCTGTATCAAACCTGCAGTGTGAGTTAACTACAGAAAACATCCCTCTGTTCTGGGGCATAGTTGAAATGAACATAAAGAACACAGAACTTTTTCTATGTCACTCATGGCTCATTTTGTGCCCTCTTCCCTATACTGCCTTCTTTAAGAGTTGCATAATATACATAACTTCTGAGCCCCATTTGTAGTCCCCATATGACACTGGTAGTTAAGTAGATATCTATCTGAAAGTAACTAGGCTACCAGTTATGTTATGCTAGGTTATGCTTAGAGGCATCACAGTACCACTTTACAAGATGAAATCTGCTACAGAATATTCAGACATGAGGGGAAAGACTCCATTGAAAAAAAAAAGCAAACCGGTTGTAGTGGAGCATGCTGGTAGGATTTGCTGTTGGAGGCAGAGGCAAGAGGAACACGTGTTTGAGGCTACTGGTAGTGGTGGTGTGCACCTTTAATCCTAGCACTAAGAAGGCAGAGGAAGGAGGATCTCTTGAGTTCAAGACCAGCTGTCTACAAAGCTAGTTCTTGGAAAACCAAATTGGGCGGGGGTGGGGGGAGATCCATAATAAGGACTTTCTTGCAAACGTCCTTCCTTCTCCAACTTACTCTTTCTGCATTGAAGAGTCAACTTCTCTGTGAGCTAGAGGCCTAAGACATAGCTACTGCCTCATTGTAGCTGCTCTGTGGATAGTATTGCTCACCGTTGTCCACTGAAATCTTGCATTTTCTGCCACTCTTTCCTTCTCCATTTCCCCTTGGTTGTTTTCCCACCTCACACCCTATTTATTTAACCTTTATTTTTATGTTATATTTTGTTTGTTCAACCTTTGTTTTTATGTTATGTGTATGGGTGTGTTTTGTCTTCATTTCTCAACCTTTGTTTTTCACGAAACCTCCCTATTTCTGACTGGATAGCTGGAGGGATTCAGGAATAAAGTCTCTGGCTTGAAGTCAGTGGTTCTCTTCTTGGGCCTTTTGACAGTTAATGTGGGTTTGGGTTAAAGCTGACAGAAGCTTAATCTTGCTATTGTCTTGCAATCTAATTTTTTTCTTGCTTTTTCATTACAGGCCAAGAAAAGGAAAAGAGCAGAGCGTTTTGGGATTGCATAATGAAAAGTCCATGCTTTCTGCCCCACAGTGGTTTCCATTTCTCAAACTCTTGTTGGTTTTTATACACACAACCTACACACAGTCATGTGCCTCACAGTGAGGAAGTGTGTGCCTTAGATAGGTACATCCTTAAATTCCAGCAGCAGTTTAATTTAACTGCTACTCTGCATTAAGGTTGTTATATTTTTGTTTTTAATTATTTTGATTATTAATAAAAAGAGAAAGAAAAGAGAACATGTGTTTTATTAGGTGCTCCTTTAAATTCCTAGAGCCAGATTAGACCACACAGGGCATGTCAGTGGCAAATATTAGGGGGAATTAACTGCAATGCCTTTATGCCCTAGGAAAGAAGATAAGAAGATGGAGCCTACCTTTTAAGCTTCTTTCTTCTCTTCTTCATACTCAGAGATATGCTTTTATTTATTTTTCACGATGAGGCCAAGTCCCCCAAAGCTTGAAATAGCCAGATGTTAGTGGCACCTGCTTCTAATCCCAGCACTCAGGAGGCATAAGCAGGTGGATTTCGGAATTCAAGGCCAGCCTGGTCTACAAAGTGAGCTCCAGAACATAGAGCTACCTAGAGGGCTACATAGAGAAACTCTGTCTTGAAAGAGCAAATAAATAAATAAGTAGAGGTTGACATAACCCATTGAGATGATATGGAGGAAGTGCGAGAGATTTTAGGGAATGTAAGAGTGACTGATAGTCTTCTGCTTTAAGTTAAGCTTGGCTGAATAAAATAGGATCTAAATGGTCTGACATGGTACTCTCTGGTTAGAGCAGAAGTCAGTGTATGGGAGCTTGGTGGTTATAGCTCAAGAAGGCAAATGGGCTGGCCAGTCCTTAGGTAGGAGAATGGAAATCCAAAGCCTGACTGTATGTCAGAGATATTACGTATTGATACCTAGGTCATTGGGCCATATGTAGAACAAGATGCCTGGTTTTTGTTTGCATCCCCTATCCCAGTACGGGGGATCAAACTTGGCCTTGTACCTGCTGGGTAAGCACTTTACAATGTCCCAGCCATGCCTGCACTTTCTAGTGGGGCTTGTGGGTTAGTTTGTCCTCTTCTGTTGCGGAATGCTATTGCAGCCACAGCAGTGATGCCTTAGATATCACTAAAGTTTACTTTCCTTTCTGGAAATCATTTGGTTGTCTAAGCAGACTGCTTGTTTCTCTAAGTTATATGCAGATCTGACACTTGCTACTTAGCCTTTTTGATAAGTTAATAGAAGTCCCCTCCCTACATCCTTTTTTTTTCCCTCCTGGCCTGAGACACGCTGCTGTGTCGACCAGGAGGCCTTGAGTCAGCCTTAGAACTGTGATTACAATCAGGCACCACCACACCTGCATGGGTTTCTCGTTTCAGTCTCTATGTTTCCAGATCAATAAATGCTTGGTTTTGGAGATTTCTTTGGGAAGATCATGAAAGTTACCTTACTTGAAAACTTTGCTGACATAATTAAACCTTATGTTGCTGTGATGTAAATCCTCATCCTCATTTCTACCAAAACCCGGCTGGTTTTGTGATTAATCGAGAGTTCACCCTGCTAACATTACAGTCTTGTGCCATGGAGCACTGCAGATTGAAGGCCAGCTGGCCCCTGCATCAGTCTGCCTCCTAAGAAAGGTGGGAACCTAAGTTTAGACACTTGAGGAAAATTTCAGTGGCGCCATGGTGAACAGAGAAAAAGGTTACCCATTTATTGTATAATTTGTCACCTCAGCCAAATGATGTAATTGGATGAGGTTCTCTTCCCATCATTCTCTTCTGCCGGCCCCACCCCCTTTTTTACACAAGACTGTAACCTCCAGTTAATTTTTTCCTCTCCACAGTGTCTTCATCTGAAAACCAGAAAATTGCTGTTTTGTATTAAGAGTATAGGTTCATTAGGATTTATATCTCAGAATGATTATAAATAAATAAATATTGAAGAAATAAAGTTGATGTAAATAATATAATGTAGCAATATAGGTCTTTTAATTTGGGGGGTTGGTTATTGTTTTTTTATTTTGAAGACAGGGTTTCTCTGTGTAACAGCCCTAGCTGTTCTGGAACCTGCTCTGTAGGCCAAACTCACAGAGACCTGCCTGCCTCTGCCTCCTGAGTGCTGGTATTAAAGTTGTGCACCACCACCGCCCAGCTTTATTTATTTATTTTTGGGACAGGTTGTCTCTGTGAGGTACCTCTGGCTGTCCTGTAAGTCCCTACTTGGACAAGGCTGGCCTCTAAAACACAGAAATATACCTGCCCCTATATCCTCAATGTTGCTATTAAAGTCACTCCTGGTATCTGTGTTTTTGCTGTTGTTTTTGTTTGCTTGCTTGCTTTTTTTTTTTTTTTAATTTTTTTTTCCAATATAGGGTTTCTCTGTGTTGACCTGACTGCCCTGGAACTCGCTCTGTAGACCAGGCCGGCCTTGAACTCAGAGATTTGCTACCCTCTATGCTCTGGGATCAAAGGTGTACACCACCACAGCCCTGCTCTGATCTTAATCTGTTTATCCGCCATAACCTTGCAGAGACACACTCAATTTAACCTCAGATTCTCTCTGATCTCTCCTACCCCTCATTTTTGAGGTGGTATCTCACTTTGTAGCCCAGGCTAGTTCTAAATTCACAGCATTCTTCAGCTTCAGCCTCCTGAGTGCTAGGATTATTTGTAGTGGTGGAATTTCTACCATGCCTGGCTAAGATTCTTTTATGGTTTTACTTTTATGTGCATGTGACATATATAGGTGTTCATATGGGTAGGTATGTGTGCCTGTTGAAGCTAGTAGTCCAATCAGGTTTCTTCCTCGATCACCATTAATTTATTGAGACAGGACCCCTTACTGAATCTGTAGCTCATTGATTTAGCTACACTGGCTGGCCAATAATTTCCAATGGTCCACCTGTCTCTAACCTCCAGTTCTGGAGTTACAGACAATACTACTAGACCTGGCCGGGCGATGGTGGCGCACGCCTTTAATCCCAGCACTCGGGAGGCAGAGGTAGGCGGATCTCTGAGAGCTAGTTCCAGGACAGGCTCCAAAGCCACAGAGAAACCCTGTCTCGAAAAACCAAAAAAAAAAACCAAAAAAAAAACTAGACCTGTTTTTTTTTTTTTTTTTTTTTTTAATGTGGGAACTAGGAGTCCAAACTCAGGGTCTTTATACTTGAGCAGCAGGCATTTGCTTACTAATCCCAGGTCCTCTTCTTTTAAGGTATAATCATTGTCTTTACTTAGTTTGCTTTACCCAAATCTTAAACCAAAACCCAGAGTCTGATTTTGTACCCCTGACCTGCCTCAAACTCACAGAGGTCCATCCGCCTCAATGAAAGGTGTGCACCACCACTCTTGGCTTTTCCCAAGTCTTTTATGGTGCTTCCCAAATGTGTAGTGGTTTTTTTTTTCCTTTTAATTAACCCTTTTTGTTCCACTTCTCCAGCTGTGCCTACATTGGCCAGAGGATTCTCTTAACTTCTGAGCATCCTGTTGTGCCCTTTAGTCATTCTGCACAGTGAGCATGAATAGATCACAATGCCTATGTTTTTACTCATTAGAGCCTAAGTCCGTCTGTTTGACTAGACAGTCCTCTAGGTTTGGGGCCCAAGTACTGCTCTTCATCCCCCAGTTGATGCAGCATCAACATTCCCCTGGAGTTCTTAAGGGTTTTGGTCATTGCTATAGCCACAGTGAGGACTGGAGCCCTTAGCTGTGATGTTGTACCTTTTTATGGTTCTGTCCGCCCTGAGAATGGCTGAAAGCAAAAAGGCTGGAAGCTTTGGGGTGAAGACTTTAGGAAGAAGGAAGGTATGAAAGCAGAATTTCTTAGTCTTTGAGACTTGTTAGTTGGCATGAGAAACGGAGGAAATCCAGATAGTTGAGATAGGATGGCTTTTTTTTTTTTTTTTTTTTTTTTTTTTGAGACAGGATTTGTGTAGCCTTGACTGTCCTGTCTTGAAACTCACTCTGTAGACCAGACTGGCCAGGAACTCAGAGATCTACCTGCCTCTACCTCCTAAGTGCTGGGACCATTCCAGCTAGGATAAGTTTTTCTTTTCCTCTTTTTTTCTTTCTTTCTGAAAGGGGGCGGGGTTAGACAGGGTTTCTTTGTGTAGTCTTTGCTATCCTAGACTTAGCTCTGTAGACCAGGCTGGTCCCAAACTCACGGATAAGTTTTTCTTAACTGCTCTCTTGTACAAGGCCTCCGACAGGGGCACTTATTTTCTGTTTATTAATCCCTCCAAAATCTAACCTCCCTTCTTGAGGCAAAGTCTCTTATATCTTATAGCCCAGGGTGACTTCAAATGAGCTATGAAGCAAGCTGAGGGTGGCCTTGAATTTCAGGATCTTTCTGCTTCTCCCTCCCAAGGGCTTGGATTACAGGCTTATGCCAGCACGCCTGGTTTTGTGTGGTGCTGGGCAGGAACTCCATGCACACTAGGCACACACTGTCAGCTATGCACATTCCCATCCGTAAGCTGAAAGACACTGGAAAAGGTTCCACGCTCAGCCAGCCCTTTGGACCCAAGGTGTTTCTCAGCTTTCTCACTTCTGTTGTCCCTGAATTCGGTTTTCCACCTTAATTTAACTACAGATTAAATAGATTAAAACATGTTATTGCATGTTAACTACCCGGCTTTTATTCCTTGTTCTACCTTACTACTTCTGGATCCTGATTTGGCAAGTTACTTAATTGCTCTGTGACTGTTTCCAAACTATTGTGAGGGCTGCAGTGAGAATTCAGTGATGTTAGCGTGTACTCAGCACACATTCCTGATGGAGTTTACATAGTGTTAGCCCTGAAGTCTACCAAAGTAAAATTGAGATCTAAGATAAATGGGGACATCTCCCCCCCCACACACACACACACCTGGACAAGCAGGTTCCAGCTAGAGAGTGGGGGTTGGGTGGTGAGTGGCGTAATCTGGGCCTTCGTGTATATAAATGCAGTCTGGCTCCTTTAGGGGGCACATATATGTGAGACCAAGAGACCCCCTTAGTCTAGCTCATTGGCAGAAAAGCCTTAATGGAACTAATGGGACAGAGAAAGCCAGGTGGCACATTGAATCCTGTGACTCAAGCAAGATTAATGTCTTAGGAATTATGCTGTGGGCATGTGGGAGTTTTTATAGTGGATTCAATGTTTGGAACACAGAACTACAGTGGGGAGCTGCCAGCTTGATTTTGGGAATACTCTTAAGGCAGCCAGGATTGGAGGACTCTGTCAGATTATTTTAGAGCC